GAGGTCCCTGGTTTGATCTGCCACACTTGCACTCTCACAGTTCAGGCTGTTCATTAAGTCCCGTGCCTCCTCCCTGCCAGGCCTGGGTGGTGCTGGGGTGCAGTGACCGTAGCCCACCCTGCCCCACCCTCATGGGGCTTGTAGCCTGGGGTGGGTCTGAGTCCTCCTGGGTGCCGTCAGCTGGGTGTTGGCCCCAAGGGCGTTCTTAGAACCTTCCAGAAGCCCAGGTCCTGCCCCAGGGGTGGTCTGAAGTATTAGGGCTGAGGGTACCTGTGAGAAACCTCCCCCCGGACCCATAGACGACCTGGCTCTGCCTGTATTTGTTGTGTATTAGAAGAGCCAGTCCCACAGCTAACAGTGGTGGTGACACTCGGGGTAGGATTGTGGTAGAGGGAAACCAGTGTTTCCGTCAGCCACGTGTAATGGGGAGCAGGCCGTGGGAGCTGGCCCAGCCCCGGGGAGACCAGACACCGCGACTGCAGGAGTGAAACGAGGGGCACTGGAGAGTCAGTGCCACGGCCCAAGGAAGGGGCCCCACCCAGCCTGGCGGGCCGGCCCGCTGCCCCTCTGCCCAGCCCAGGTGTGCAGCTGGGGCTGGGGGCTGGTATCCCTGCGGGTATGTAGAAGACATGGCATTTCCAGATCCTTCAAGGGAGTGTAGATCAGAAGCTAGACTCAGTGGTGTCCTACAGAGGAAACACGTTTTTAAACTCGGTGACCCCCGTCCAGTCGCCCCCTTGTTCCCCTCAACTAAAGCGGATGATCTCCAAGGTTGCAGATTCACATGCCTTCAGGAGCCACACAGCAAAGTAAATGAAGTGCGCCAGACACAAGGCAATAGGGAAGGGTGGAGACTGCGGTGAACGGGAAGACACTAGGTCTACAGTGGGCGGCAGCCAGCTACTCAGCTCCCCCTGATTGTAACCTTCAGAGTTACCGCTTCTGATTTTTCAGTGACACCCAAACCTAGATTTTCCAAATGGCAAATCTCCCAGCTTTTAAAAGTGGGCAGCTATTCTGGTTCCCTAGTGCCACTCTGACAAGAATATACCACAAATGGGATGGCCTTAACAAACAGGAGTTTGTTCTCTTACAGTTCAGGAGGCTAGAAGTCCAAGTTCAAAGTGCCAGGCTCTAGGGGCTGGGTGAAAGCCCCTCGACCTTGGGCTTCAGCTCTGCCTTCT